CACACACACACACACTCACACACACACACACACACTCACTCTCACACTCTCACACACACACACACTCACACACACACACACACACACACTCACACTCACACTCACACTCACACACACACTCACACTCACACACATACTCTCACACACACATAGATGCTTTACTTGTTTCACATGAACTTATGCATGGCACAAAAATGTCCCAAAGAACAGATGCCAGTGTTATGAGAGTATCACAATTACTAACACTGACCCTAAACATCCCAAAATCCAGAAGATGCAGTGACACTACACACGACTGCAGCTGCTCCACATGGACACTGGGTTAAAGATGAGTTAGTTAACACTGGTAAACTAGTACAGAGCTAACTGAACTCCCATTATCTGACATTACTGAGGGAAACAAGATGTTCAGTGAGAGAAAAACCGACGACATCAGCTGAACAGAATGATTACAACACGACCAAAGATATGCCGAATCTGTGCTGATGAATCGTGCATCTAATAATCACATGCCTCTAATAAAGCTTTACGATTTCAAATCATAACAAGCTCTTAATGAGAATCTTAATTTAGGAGAGCGTAAGCACGGACTCCACATACAGTAGCTGTTGAACACACAGCAGCGCATTTGAAATACATGCGAGAGTAAATAAGCTGAAAATCTTGAAATATTCAGTCCTCAGAGCTTTCGCAGGAAGAAGAGAAAACACTGGTGAATTATTAATTTTCATAAATATGGCTGTCTCCTGAGGTGAGGCATTGTCTCCCTCCCGCTATTAAGATTTCATGAGAGTGTTTCGAGCTCAGTGTGGATTCTTCACTGGAAACATGACAAGAGCTCAGACAAACCCGAGCAAACCTCAGACAAATTACTCACTTTAACATTTGTGAAGCTTACATCTAAGCGTTTATGAAGCTCCAGGACTGACTGATCTGACTGAAGAGTGTCTTTTTTGTTTCAGCCCTAATATTTGACAGACAAAGGCAGTTTTTATCAACTCAGAACTATTGCTAAATGAAAATCTTTTTTTTTTTTTTTACTTTTAATGAACTGGAGACTGTAATGCATGATTTTATTTCATTAAGACTTGATTACCACAGTGCACTTTATTTGAGAGTTACACAATCTTGTGTCTCACGTCTTCAGCGGTAAATGTGATTCTGCTACTCCTGTTTCAAGTTCTATTGTTTGTCTACAAGAGCTTGTAAGGTTTGGCTCCTGTCTACATCTACATCACGACTCTCACATCCCATCGATAATCGCTGGACACTCACAGCGCGGAACGATTACCATCTGGACGAATCCGTCCTGGAAGAACCTTTGAGAAAACACAAAAGAACAAGCTGATGTTTCTCTCTCCACAAATCCCTTTTTAAGATGAAAGGAAACGAATACATCACTGTACATCACTGCCTGTTTAGCCCCGCCCACCGACTCTACATCACTGCCTTTTTAGGCCCGCCCACCGATTCTACATCACTGCCTGTTTA